GTCCACACTGCGCTGGAGTTTTCGAGTGCCTAAAAAGGGAGTGTTTTAGAAACGCTGAAGAGGCCGTTTTTATTCTAAAACGCTGCTGCTCCGTCTCAGTGTGGATGGGGGAAAACGGAGACATCTGCAAACAGAGGCGGGGCTGCCGACTTTCGGCTATGTGATTGGGGCTTCTCCTCAATATTAAGTAGCCTAACGTTACACACAGTTCAGTCCTGCATCCTCTTCTTGTAAGTTCAGACTTAGCAAGTTTTGATATGGAAGACAGACTCCCAAGGACACGGGTAAATCTTCAAAGGGAACAGTGTACTTTATTACTTCATTCACATCACCCTGGCCAGGTTGTTTCACTTTCTCAACAATAAAATGAAAACATGATTTAAGGAACTGCCTATTTTCATTTTGATATTAGCAACTTAACAGACAGCAGAAATGAGGTGTTGTGCTGCAGAGCGTCATCTTCACTGTATGCGTATTCATAACAAAACGGAGCCTATAACAACTGCCTCCTTTCATTTTCAGTGAAAATACGAAACATACCCTCTCTTCTGCTGAATATTTAATAATCGATAATGGCCATTATAAAAGTATAACATAAAATCAGTTCATACATCATAGGAAATAAGTGAAGTTTATTCATAAACAAATTTCGAGAGGATCACATGCTTATGATTGTTCACAGCTGTTCCAACTTTAGCTAATGACTGATTATCCTATCAGACGATCCTTAACTCACTATAAATAACCAGACTTTTCTCATCTCAATATCTTCGTCTTGAAGAAACCCCCCCACCCAACCCTACTTTCCCTCCTTTCAAACGGGCGTCTCGGTTGCCAGCTATTAGCGCTGTTGCCTCACAGCAAGAATGCCCCTGGTTTAATTCCTTTCCAAACCAGACGGCATTTCTGTGCGGAGTTTGCTCGTTCTCCTCGTGGTCGCGTGGGTTTTCCCCGGGTCCTCCAGTTTCCTCCCACAGTTCAAAAACAAGCACTCTAAACAATTAATCAAAATACATTAGCTAAACTCTGAGTACACTTTTCAGCATACATATCCGACACTTAGCTACTACAAGCAGGAAGGGGAGTCATCGAGATCTACCTGAGCTCAAGCTCCCCTCTCGCCTTGCAACGGGAGGGAGCCCAGGGCTCGAGGATCTTATAAGCTCAGGGCTCTCTCCCGGAACAGCACGCCAAACTAGCTTTACTATCAATCATCAGCTAAGTGTGAACTCTTGAAAGGCAATCGATCAGTCAATATGCAGAATGCACGTGGTTACATTAATCATTAACTTATCTTTGCGCTTAGCCAAAACACGTTACCTGAGAAAAAGTAATAGATTCAAAAGACCAGGTCGGGTATATGTCGTTAGATATAGACAACAAGATGAATGAAATATTACATTTAACAAATATAGTGAGATTAGATCCAGCGGGAGATGCATGATGAGCAGTCCGACGAGCACATTTCTCATCTGGGTAGATAGGCTGCAGCGCATGCTAGAGTGTGTGTGTGTGGTCACGTGATGTGCGTTTCAGTCGTTTTGGTGTGGACGGAGAGCTGTTCAGAAACGCTGGATGAAACGCTAGTGTTTACGCAGATTGTTTTCACTCTAAAAAAATGTTTTAAAACTAAAACGCACTAGTGTAAACGGGGCCTCAGTCTAATCTTGAAGAAGAGCCCACAGTTACTTCTTCCATCATGTTTTATAGCTGACTTGAGATCGCTTTGCTTCTGTTTCCTGCTATCCAGATCCCTGGGCGCAGATCTTCTCGAGATCTCTTTTGATCAGGCTCATTGTGTTTGACTGCCTCTTGCATTTTGAAAACACAAATATTATTTAAGTAGGCAACAAAGCCATTATTTATTTTCGCTGCTCATTGCACGGGAAACAATAATACCCAACCATTGAGAGTAATGTAAGAAAGCTGATTGGTTGAAAGTGGCAACCTTTATGTGTGTGTACGCACACAATCTATACAGCCTTACTCGCTGTTTTCCTCTCAGACTCATTCACATTCTCTCTCTCACACACATGTGCAGGTATTCACCATGCAAAAGTTAATGCTTGATCAGTTAAAATAAAAACTGCAAAGCAAAACACATATACAGTTAAAGTCAGAATTATTAGCCCCCCTGAGTTTTTAGCCCCCCTGTTTATTTATTTCCGGATTTCTGTTAAACGGAGAGATTTTTTCAAAACATTTATAAACATAATAGTTTTAATAACTCATCTCTAATAACCGATTCATTTTATCTTTGCCATGATGACAGTAAATAATATTTGACTAGATATTTTTCAAGACACTTCTATACAGCCTAAAGTGACATTTAAAGGCTAGGTTAATTAAGTTAACTAGGCAGGTTAGGGTAATTAGGCTTAATTAGGCAGTAAAAAGTTATTTTACTGTATAACAATGGTTTGTTCTGTTGACTATCGAAAAAAATATAGCTTAAATGGGCTAATAATTTTGTCCTTAAAATGACTTTTAAAAAAAATGTAACAACTGCTTTTATTCTAGCCAAAATAAAACAATTAAAACTTTCTCCAAAAGACAAAATATTTTCAGACATACTGTGAAAATGTCTCTGTTCTGTTAAATATAATTTAAAAAATATTTAAAATAGAAAAATCCAAAGAGGGGCTAATAATTATGACTTTAACTATATCTGACATTTCCCGGAACAGGATCTAGCAAGATCTGGCTCAAACCAAGCACTGGTCGTAGGACATTGATTTTTTTTTTTTGGACATAAAAATCGAGTTGAAGTCAGAAACCAATGTCAGGCTGATGCCAGTGTCCAATATCGCACAGCATTTTGGTCACTTCCCAACACAACCTAAAAACAACAAAGCATCAGAGTCTAATGATGTTACAGCTTGACATTGTGTTGATGTTACCAATATGACATCTATCAGATGTTAGATGTTGGTTGCCATAACTGATGAATAAATGTCAGTATTTGACATCAATATGATGTTGGTTTAAGATGTTGAGTCAATGTTGGATTTTGGTCACAACACAACCTAAGATCAACAAAAAATTATCCCTATTGGATGTCAAAATAACACTGTGCTTAGACTCTGGTGACCTAAATCCATCCTAACATTAAAGTCTTATGATGTTGTGTGTCTGTCGGGATGCATACCATTAGTTTGCTATGAGGGATGTGCAAAAAGAAAGTTTTGCTCTCTATTCAATATTCAGTTTTAGTTTGAAGTACATCAACATATTGAAGTGAAAGGAACTGCTGTTTTATGCAGACTTTAGACAAAATATTAATTATGTTCTGCACAAACTACATTTTGATCCTCCTTGTCCTTATTTTCCTTGAAATGCAGTCAGTGTAACCCAAAACCTTCAGGGCACTGCCTTTTCTTAATGTAGTTACTATAAATCTAAAGGTTATCTTAGAATTTAATTTGTTGACTTAGGTCAAACAAAGGTTGCGTCCGAAACCGCATACTTTCATACTATATAGAACGCCAAAATCAGTATGCGAGCCGAGTAGTATGTCCGAATACATAGAATTCGAGAATCAGTATGCGAAAAGTACCCAGATGACTTACTACTTCCGGCGAAATTCTGGAGTGCGCATCTCATGCACGCTGCGCTATCCCATGATGCCCCGCGAGCGAATTCATGAATGGGAGTGAAGCGACGCAAATTACGCAGGTAGGTCGCGTGACCATGACAAAATGGCGAATGTAGTACGTCCGAATTCCATTCATACTTTCACATTCATACTGTATAGAACGTACTTTTCTAACGGCCGAGTAGTACGTTTAAATTCAAATACAGTACCTACTGAGTAGTAGGCGGTTTCGGACGCAGCCCAAGACACCTATTGTTTTGAAAAGGCTATTGGATCTCGACATCAATCAAGTACTATTTTGTTGAACTAGACCAGGAATTTTCTTTCTTGCCGTTCACAAAGTGTGTAAATGTGGGGATGTCAGATGTTTGCACATCAAACATGAATGTCAGAAATTTTAACTTAGCTGATGACAGGGCCTTAGTTGGTCTGTTGGGACAAACAAACAGGAAAATATTGAATGATTCAGTCTACTTGACCCGCTGTAACGCCGGGGAGTGACACTAACAACAGAAGTTGGATCCAAATGCAGGTTTATTCAGAATCATCAGGCAAGCAATGGTCAATACAGGGGCAAACAGATGTATGAGGGCAATCCAGAGTCGAAGTTAAAATAACAGGCAGATGGTCAGAGGCAGGCAGCAAACAGCATTAAATAAATAAACAAGGCAAAAGATCAAAAACACAGCAAAGGCAGACAAAGGAAGACGCGTTGTAGTGTTAGTTTTACAGTTAACAAGACTCGGCAATGTGAATGAGTGTGTTCTGCTTAAATACTGTGTGTAATCAGTCTTGAAGCAGGATCAGCTGTGGGAGTCTAATCAGTGGAGACTTGGAGCAGGTGTGTGTGTGGCATGACTGAATATGTAGTTTATCAGCAGATTTGTAGTACTAAGTGTGTGTGTGTGTGTGTGTGTGTGTGTGTGTGTGTGTGTGTGTGTGTGTGTGTGTGTGTTTACCAGTGACATCTGGTGGTTGTTCGCTGGTGAACATGACACCCACATTAAGGCTCTCGATTCTTGGTGTTGCGTTAGTCAAGAGATTATTGATGCCAAGTCTAAAGAGTGTTATGAATGATGAGTGATAAGTGCAGTATATTGTGAATCCATTTAATTTGCAATTCAACAAGTTGAAATTGTAATAGAAATTGATCTACTAGTTTGTTTCCTCTATGTAGGTCTTTAGCTTCTTCAGTTTTGTGTTGTTTGTGAATCTGTAAATCACTGCACGTTTAGTATGGCTTTTTTGTTTTGTTAATAAAGTTTTTGAAGCAACAAGATCTCCTAGTCATATGCAGTTTTTCATTTTCTTCTTATTGTCTATTGATATTTGAACTGTTTATTTATAGTTTTGCTTTCTCACATTTGTATAAATAAGTTTTCTTTTTTTTTCTTTCTCCTCAAAGTGGACACGGTGCTCAGACATGTGACAGAGGGTGGTGTTTCTGCAGATGGAGCAGCGGATCAGTGCTATGGAGGAAGTGTGTCTCGCAGAGGCAGTGATCGAGCTGTTCCACTCGGCTCTGAGGGCACTGCCCCGAGCGAGCCTGTTAGCATCTCACAAGGTGAGTCTCCAGAGCACCAAATGTCCTTGAATCGGCTGCTTTCAGGCTCTTCCTATGTTTTATTTATTTCCACACGGAAGTCAGAGTCTTTGATTGATACGGAGATGTTTGTGTGTGTTTCAGTGATGTGTAACATAAATCTTCTCTTTCTCTCTCAGTATGCAGTAGGTGGTGGGGTTCGAAGAGGTTAGATTATGTGCTGTATTGTCCAGATGTGCTCACTACATTTCCTACAATAGCTCTGCCTCACCTGTTTCACGCTTCATACTGGGAGTCCACAGATGCTGTGGCTTTTATTCTTAGACAGGTAAGAACAGATGCTCTTATGCTCTGCTTATACTTTACAACTTGGGCCATGATTAGTTTGTCTGAGACTAATTTTGGAAATCCTAAATTTCTTATAATACCAGGCTAAAATCTGTGTGATGATTAGTTTATAATGTTTACAGACAGATGATTTAATGGCTACTGTGATCTAATTTCCTTCCAATGAAATGTTGTTATTTACAGAATATATGAAACACTTTGCTGCAGTGTAACTTCTCTTATAACAATTGTCAAACCAAGAACCAATAGGAGTCCTGAACCTTATGATGCAATTAGCTTCAAACTTCAAAATAATTAACTTCAAACCATTCAAACTTTTTCATCTGGTTTAATTATCATGGCTCTCTTTAAGCAAAATATATGCTACAGATTGTTCATTGATACATTTGTTTCATTGTTCATGGGTCGCTGAACGTGTCATACTGTAGATCGATGATGTCAAAGTTTGGATGAGTCCAGCCATCCAGGGGAGTTGTTATGAATTGAAATGTCAAAAGTCATACTGAAAAGACACTTTCATCGGCACAAAATGGTGATGTACTTTCTTATAATAAATTACAATAAAATACAACAGGATTTGTTACCTCTGCTTATAGAAAATGTACATTAAGGTAGCATTCAAACAAACATCTGCAAAGAAACTCAATACAGAAGAACATAACATAACCTACTTCCAGCTAATGTTTGGGAGGTGTTATTGCAGAGCAACACAAACAGTGTGCGGAAGTATAAATGCTTGACTACGTGCACTGTGGGTCACACTCGACGGAGAAGTATAAACAGCCTTAAATGTATTGTGCTGGTAGAGCCAAAGACAATAGCCCAGGGGTTGCCACAGCAGAATGAACCACCAACTTATCCAGCATATGTTTTACGCAGTGGATGCCCTTCCAGCTGCAACCCATCACTGGGAAACACCCATACACTCCCATTTATACACATATACATTACAAAAAATTTAGCTTACCAGATTCACCTATAGCGCATGTCTTTGGACATGTGGGGGAAACTGCACCCAACATGGGGAGAACATGCAAACTCCACACAGAAATGCCATTCGACCCAGCTGAGGCTCGAACCAGCGAACTTCTTGCTGTGAGCCGACAGCGCTAAGCATTGCGCCACCATGCTGCCCCAGGATTATCCATTGATGAAAAAACTATATATATATATATATATATATA